TTGTCAAGTTTTCCCTGTTGATACTTCAAAAGACCTCAGCAATTCTTCTGCATCTCCAAACAAATATCCATTAGTGTGGTCTTTTCAGAGAAGAGTGGATTTATGAAAATGTATGTTTGTGAAGAGTTGAAATTATGTGCAAATTCAGACTGCATCCAACACATAATTTCAGCTAGAAAAGGTGAAAAACACATTGAAATACTGCAATATTCCATTTCAGTATTTTAAAGTTGTTTTTTTTTTCAAAATAGAATCATAAAGGTTATGCTGTAATTTAATTTAACCACATTTTCTTTTTTATCATAAAACTCTGATTGAAAATTAAGCTGACAGGAAATAGAAAAGTACTAAGAGGGGACTTTATTCACATATATGAGAACCAAACCAAGCTAATTAGGGATGAAATAAATATGTCTAATTAATTCAAGATGAAGTAATAAATCAAAAATCCTCAAAAAGTCAGATCATTACTTGATTGAACTTCTGCCTATGACACTTCACAGCAAACTGCATGATTTGCCCAAATCCAGCATACATTCATGGGTGGGTGAAAAGGCCAAACCACAGTGGGGAGGACAGACAGTCTTTGCTAATGATCTAATTCTCACAGCCACAATATAAGCCAACACTGGGATTTATTTATTTCTTCTCAAAAGGAAAGTCCTGAGTATACAGAGAACAGCAGAACTGGAAGAAAAGCATTTTCTTCTATTTTGTTCAGCTATTGTCAAATAGTTATGCTCAGGTGGTGCTTTCTTTTTAGAAATTATATATTTAAAACACAAAGCCATGAAATGTTTAATACCATTCTGAAAAACTGTTTTGTACAGAGTTTAGTTACATTTATTATTTAACAAGTGAATGGCAAAACTTACTTAAAGTTCCTCAGAGCATTTCAGATATTAGCAGGCTTTATAGAGATAAGAATAACAGGATTACCAGGGTGCCAATATTATACAGCAGAATTAAAAGCTACAGTTAATATGGCTATTACTATCACTTTAGAACTATGCTACAATCTATTATGCTTTCTTAGCAAGTTAATGAAATTCTCTGTCCCACACACAAAAGATCTGCAGTATAATAAAGTTATTAATGAAAGTAATTAAACCTTTCAGAATAAAAAAGGATCACTGCCAAAAAAAAAAAAAAGGTAAATGCAATTCACTTAACAATCATACTATTGTTTTGTAAACAATACAAATTTTTAAAAGGCTTATCACTTCATGCTGTACACAGATCTTTTGAAAAATATCGGTGCATGTATCTCTCTGAACGTCTACATCAGTTTTTAAAAAAAAGTTTTGCTTCAAAACTGCAACAGGAATCTAACTACAGCAACTAAAAAACACCAAGTGCTATTTCAGGAGTAACAAGTAAGATATACAAGCTTTAAAAAATGCCTGCCAATAGATGTTTTTCTTTTATTGTGGTTTAATATGGTTTCATAATTCCCTTGGCTTTAAGACCAATGACTTTTTAAGGTGTAAAATATATCTGATTCCTCTTACCTTATGCTGAAGGACAGGTTGATTTGTTAGGCGTTTCGGTTTTTTCACATATTAAAAATTAAGCAATAAGGCACAACGTGGAGGAGTGATTATCTGATGATAATCCCAGCATCCTGAAATTGCTTTATTGCAAATATAAATATATTTTAGATTTTTCACTGGTTATTAAAGGCATTAGAATGCCCATAGAGTTTAATCTTCCCCTTCAGAATATTAAATTCATAAGGCTTTTTTTATTTCTAAGCTATTTTTTAATGTGCAAGACAGGACTTCATATACTCAAGAAATACTGTAATTGGCTGGTGCATACTCCACTGGGGAGATTAATTTACAAGCACTGTACACTTCTGCTAAAACTACTTCTCAGGCTTTCAAAATGTCAATAGTATATTTTCCCAGCCCTGTAAACACATTTTGATACACAATATAAACTTTAACGGTAGTTTTAAGACCCCTCTGGGGGTATGGTTATTTAAGCAATAAGACACAGTAGGGTGTGAATTATGGTATAATAATTCCCTACTAACTGCATTGTTAGGCACGAGGCCAAAGGCCAAGAGACCAATGAACACACTAGGTGTGAATTATGACATCATAAGTCACACTCTAGAGTGTCTTACTGCCATTAGAGAAATATTTAAAACATGTTTTAAAGCAAGTACTTTATTCCTATAGTACTGCACTTTAATGGAATATCATGAAAAATTTTTCCAAGTAAAAAGTTAGCCATTATGTAACTTGGAATCAAAAACAAAATTGAAACAAAACAAAAAAAAGTCTTCTAAGCTTGTCATATTGCACTGTGGTGACACGCTGTAAAGAACAGCCCCAGAAAACATACATATTACCCAAGTTTGCAAAAAATAGCATGAAGGCCTTCTGCACAGGGGATTACAATCTGCTTTGCTCATTGTCTGTAGAATCAGATTGCCAGAATCAGGGGTCTACTGGCTTCTCCCATGTAACTGTTGATGAAACTGCTAGAAAATCTGCATACCTTTTTTCCACACTTATTCACACTGCTGTAATAGGGCACAATTGGACTTTGAACGAGTAGCAAAAAAGTTCCTTAAGACCTCATTTGAGCTCCTGCAGTTGAGCTCCTGAGGCTGCTCACAGTTCTAACACAACTTTTAGTAAGGACTGCAAATAGGATAATGTTTATTTATACTGTTTCCCATTTTAAACTCCATTTGACAAATGCATTTTCTCCCCTCTCGGTACTCCAGTGTTCCAAGTGCAGCAATGACAACAGTGTCATCTGGAGATACACAAGCTCACCTTACAAATAGCTAAGTGACTGGGAGCAAGCTCACTGCAGCAGCAGGGATTTTGGCATGATCTAAACTGGCTTCTCAGTCAGTTTTTACAGCTTGTCTTAAACTTCCAGGCTGCTGTGGATTGATTGCTACCAGTGGCCAAGCCAGCTAGTGAGCATTAGGGTTAGCAATATGATAGAGTTTATGGGAGGGCTGTTTGCCAGGCCCATTTGGGGAGTGATAAGCCTCAGGGCATGTCTGCACGTCTCAGTGCACTGAGGTGCTCAGCACTGCTGGACTGGCTGGGTAGATGTTGTTGTATAGAGATGCTGTGCCATGTAGGGATAACAACCTGCATCCTGGAAGCAAAATAGCTGCAAGGTCAGGTTAATTAGTTCTCCTGCATCCAGTTCTGGAGCTGGTTCATTTTGCACTCACAGAGGGATCTCTGTGTGTCCCTGATTATCTGAGAAAAACACCAGAAACCTCAGTTCTTCCAGGTACAAATGCATCCTGGCATACTTGTGTAGCAGGTGAGAGTTGTTTTCTGCATAACCTCACTCACAGGGGTTACCTGCCCCTCCTGGATAAAGTCATTATCTGTGGCCATTTACATCAGTCAAAGGTAAGATTTGGAGTCTAGAGTTCGTCATTCTCCATGAAATAGAAGTGGATAATCTTACATAGAGGACTTCTGTGAAGATAACAGTGGTAACAAGGCAAAATTCTGAGCTAACTTGGTGTCTCCCCTTCATTGTCTACCCAAAATGTCTGTTCTAGTCTCCAGCAAGAGAAGGTGCTTAATTCTGCCTACAGCTTGATGATGCTCGTGGGAGCAATTTGAGTTTTGCTGCTTCTCTGTATAAACAAACAAACAAGCATGTGATTGCTTTTTGCTATTCAGCCTGCTCGAAACTTCTGCCAAACATTATGGAAAAACCTACACCGCTATAGATTTTTTCCTTTTCCAACAACTTCCAACCAAGAGAGCACCATTTTAGACCTAGCTTATATTTGAAAATACTTGTTTTATATCCACTTGCAAAACTGGAAACACTTTTTCCTGGATCTCAATAGGAATGGGACAAACAACCAAGTAAAGGGTTCCACACTGGCTCTACATACTCCAAGAACTTAAAAGAAGTAGCTCCAGAAAAGTAACTGTAAATATATATAAACTACACCTTTTAGTGGCAAAGCAGTATTTCAAAGACTGCTGGGCAATAACTAACAAGTTCCCAGCAGCATGTTTTTCATAAATTAACATTACTGCTCAGAACTCACCTACACTAACGAGAATGCTGCAATTTCTGAAACCATTTCATTACATGAAATTTGAGGTATAAATGCATCACTGTGCTACCATAATAAGGACATAATACTTTGATATACCCATCTCTGCAAAGCCTTTTGGCTTGTAACAGTAAATCACAGACCTATTTTCATACCTCATTACCATTATGTATCTTTCCACTGACACCTGACCTTATGCATAATCAGGTATGAATTTCAAACCACACTTACAATCTAAATGAATGCCTCATTATTTTACATAACCCAGAATGAAATAAGATTTGAGATGTAACTTCAAAATTCACAGTTCGCACATTCAGAAATGCAGGTCCATCAAAAAGAAGTAATGGTTTCTAATTCATGACTGTGAACAGCACCAAATCACTCCTGCACATAGGAGCTTTGCAAGAATTTCAGGATTGGATTTTAGAAAGGATATTGCCAGTTCTGGAAAAAATAACACAGTGTTGAAACTGTTTGGTATGCTGTTAAAGACAATCTATGAAAGAAAAATGCAAGTACTGAATTTATTACCTGTATTTTGAAGAAAGAACGACAGCACCAATTGCATGAAGTTATAAAACACCAGAAATAAACATGTAAATAATCTCCATAGAACACAGACATCTACAAAGAAATATATATATATGTATACATATAATATAATAAACCCATTCATTAGGGAACAAGAAACATATTTTTGTACTGTATAAAACAGCTGTACAGTGTGCACTTAGACTTTCGTGATCTCTCCAAAATGTCTGTCAGTCACTTCTCCCCATCATCATTTGCTTAACATAATTTCTTCATTGTCCATGGGAGAATTCTATGTGACAGTTTTGTACTTTTAAACTTAGTAGTTATAGTGCAGTTTGTCTCCATATATATATATACATATGCATACATATACATACTTGCTGGTGCACACATATATGTATACATGTATATATATGAAAAGAACAAACACACACATGTACACACACACACACGTGACAGATCTAAACAGCTCCTCCATCCTGTGCTATTGAATTAGTGCTTGTAAAAAACCCCTGCACATTTTGTGAAGGGAAGAAAACTTGCTGATTGTGCAGATTGAAGACATTAGATGGTTCCATTCCTAGCAGTCTGCAAATACACATGTGAATCATATGGTGGTATCCCATATGCCTGAAGAGAGTCTGTTGCAGGAGGTGTCTTCTACCTTCTTCAGCAGCGTCGGCTTCTTACAAGGGGGTGGAGGTGGGGCTGTGATTCTTTGCTCAGTATTGTGCAATATTTGCTGCCAGTCTTCTCTCTCTTCACACAGCTTTCTCCTCCAATCTAGAAGCTCCTGTAGAGCCACACTCTCATTCTCAGAAAGTCTAAGCTGATGAATAACCTGTGAGAAGAAAAGAATAATAGCAATAACAATAATAATAAAGGTGGATAAAGAAAATAAATCAAATAAGCCTGTTAATAATTTGAAGCAAACTTGTCCTCCAAAAAGGTTTTAAACTCTTTACACTGAAAATAAAGAACATTAGTGATTTAGAATTGCCTTATTGCAATCTCATGTCTGAAAGTCACAGTCTGAAGTCACAATGTCTGAAGTTGTATGAAGTAACTGCCAAACCTGAAACAAACAGAAAAAAACTCCTTTGTGTCATCAAAGGGTACACGAACACTATTCTCTAAAACACACAAAGCAGACTGCCTACAGCTGCTGCAGGAATAGCAAGGTTTTTCCTCTAAATGTAAATACTCAAACAGTCATCACCAAGAAATCATAACCTTTGTGGCATATTAGAATCAGTAAAGCTACTTTTCAGGAGCCAGTCCCCGTCTTCCTCCAGGGTATACATTAACTTAAACTGTAGCTTCAGTTGGCCTGAATCTACCTTCTAATTTATTCTGAAGTAGGCACAGTTCTGCACTAGATTCATAATCCACTTAGAAGAAACTGTTCCCCTCCATTTAACTCTTCTATTGCAGGGATTATTTATTTTGTTCAAGTCAGTTTGAAGCCCTCATGGCAGCATAAGTCCATGAATCAATGAAGTCCATCTCACCATCCTTTAGGACTTACTTGACACCTATGCAGTACAGCAGCCCCTAGAGCAAGTACTGAGGTCTGTTGGCTTGGGAATGTTCTGTAGCAGGAGAAGCTTAACTAGAAAATATAAAACAAGCCCATCATAACATCTAATAGCTCACAACCCTTATCCTGTTATCTTCTTTCTTAAAAACCCCACAGGAGCACCTGTAAGAGGCACCTATGGCATGACTAAAATGCCCACATTTGACTTCACACAATGGCCTCACCTTAAGGCTGCATTTCTACTTGTCATAATGAGGGACAGCTACATGTTAGTCATGAGAAAGGAAATGATGTGCAGCGTTCATGAGACACCCCACACGTGATTAGTTCCAGGCGCAAGGAAAGGTGAGTGACACAAAGGGCACTTTTATCACTGATACACAATGGTGTTCCTGGGGCAGAGAACTACCTGTGGGCTATTCCTGTGGCTCCTGCTCTTCCTTCATGGAATAGCAAGTGGTTGGGTACAGAAGCCTACCAGGCTTTACAGTGCTATTTCAAATGTGTCCTGTGCAAATCAGACTTTTCACATGCACATGCTGTCAGAGAAGGAATGAGCCCTTACATGGATATGCCTGAATATGTATAGGAAATTTGCTTAATTTCTGGTTGGTTGATAATTCAAAGGTATTAACTTATAATATGTCTTAATAACAGGTATAACAAAGCGCAGTTTAAAGTTCCGAATTTTTTTTTAAAAAGAAGAAAAATGAAAATGTTTGAAAGATTTCATTAAAGGGTATCTCAATTGCACATCACTATAAAATTAAAAGCCTCTTTGCTTTTATATTTACGCAAAATGCAACAGGGCATCTCAGCAACCAAGATGAAAATGAAATGTTTCACATATATTGCTAGAGGGATATGAAAAAAAAAAAATTTTTTTTTTTTTTTTTTTTTTTTTTTTTTTTTTTTCTGGTTTATAGAAGATGAGTTTGCACTTGGAAACAACTTATCAAGAAAGACGGGTCAGGTGGCTTTGTCCTATAGAACAGCTGGATAGCTTGTGAGTCACCACAGCTTACCCACTCCTGGCCAGTTTCTGTAGTTTTTTTTGTGGATTTAAATTATGACCATAATCGGTTTTAGAAAACATATAGATCGAAATACAGTCTTCCCAATTTGGACACCTTAGTTGTACCTAAATTTTAGACATTTCATGAATCTGCACCAGGCATGCTTCTCTGAGAGGTTCTGGAACACACAAGAACCCAGCTTTGTTAGACTCATAGCAAGAGTTTCACATGAAAGAGTTTCACAGATAATGAATCAATGACATGCCTGAACAAGGGAGGATAAATATAGTTATAAAAAAATAGGTATTTTGAAACTATGTAATTGGATGTGCTTTGGTGACAAAAGTTTGATAGCATGACTAATGAAGTCTGGAAGAATTTTCAGACTGAGAGATGGATAGAGTATTTGAAAAGAGAGGGTGCTAGTGCCATTCCAAGGAGCATAAAGGCACATAGGTGCAGGTGAGATGTGAGCACATTTTGCCTGGGCATTTGCATGGATTTGCATCCTGTTTATAGCTTATAGGCACTGAAGAAGTTTTATTATATTGGCTCAGCTTATGCAAGCTGTAAATTAATACTGGGTCATCAGTTAGAGCATAGTGGACAAAAGTTGGTCCAGTTCACAAATAAGTGTACGTACTTTATTGTATTTTCTAAAACAGGAAAGGAAAAATACCTCCAGCAGTTATTCACTTTGAAACTGGCAAATAAACTGGAAAACAGCCTGCATGAAGGACCTGACATGAAACTGCAGTCAAAATGAAATGGATGAAAATGCATAAGAAGTGGCAGAGCCCTAAATGAACCAATTAATTTAATTAGATCTATTTGAATAACATGATATCTTTTCTCTTTTCCATTTATGATTAGACCCGTGACAAGCTAGAGATCTATTATACATATTCATTATAGAAAAGGTTGGCTGAATAATTTTACATGAAGTAAAATAGTAAGTTGTGTTTCTTCATTACTGTTATATATCCTGAGCAGGTATTTTGTGAAAGGTGAATGATGCATGTAGGAATTAAATACTTTAAGACTACCGATCTTTTAAATGGACAATAAATGAACAACTTTCACGAACTGTATCAGCAGCAACTACAGACCAGGATTTTTGTAGCCAAAGTCAAAGTCAATCAGACATGGTAAACAGCATTTGGGCTAGACCCACAAAATGTACAGTATTTGAATACTTGGCATTTATCAGCTCTGCCATTGGGTGGAAACACAATCTCTGTGTTTAGTATCAAGAGCTCTTTATGAGCAAACAAGAAAAGCTGAAGTGTCGAAGTCACACACAAAAGAAGAACTTGTGGAGTTACCACAGCTATTAACTGCAAACTGCAATGGATTGAAGGATTTAAACCAGATCCATGTGTTCCACTGCAAAATATGGCAAGATGGATAAAATAAATTTGTCCAGGGAGGAGCTTTCAGGATTCACTCTTTCCACTTCACAGCCCAAAGTCTTGAGCTGTAAAAGCAAGTTCTCTCCTCCTGGTATCAGGGATTCTGGTGGGTGACAGAACACCAATGACTCAGTTCCATCACAACATGTATGGAAGGACTTTCATCATTCTCTAGAAGCTAGAGCATATTGGGAAATTAGAATATGTGGATTCAGCTTCTCTGTGTTGGTCCTAGTTGAGATGAAAATCACTTTCCTCTTTGCCTTGGGAGCTAGAAAGGAGCTGATAACACTCCAGAGTTTTGGCTGCTGCTGAGCTGGGCTGGCACAGCCTCAGGGCTGTCTCTCCAACATTCCCACCTGACCAGTAGTCTGGGGGTGAGCAACATTTTGGGAGGGGACACACCTAGGCCAGCCTACCCAAAATGACCAGAGGGATATTCCATACCATATGAGATCCGCACACCTATAAGAAAAAGGAGGGGGAAGGGGAGACATTCATTATTTACAAAGTTTGCCTTCCAGGACAACCTCCACATATGCTGAAGCCCTGCTCCAAGAAGTGACCAGACATTGTTTGCTGATCAGAAGAAGAGAATAAAATCTTTCTGTTTTATTTTATTTTCCTTTTGCTAGCTGTGCATGCACAACCTTCACTTTTGCTTTAGTAAACTGCCTATATCTTGACACATTAATTTTTTCCTTATTTTTTCTCCCTGTCCTGCTGCAGGGGGGAAGGATAGAGCAGCTTGGTGGGCAATTGCTGTCCAGCCAGGGTCTTTCAGGCTTAGGAAGGTTAAGGAAGAGACGAAGTTCCCACATGCTGAGAGGAAACTGCAACTACAAGGGGTGGTCTCCGAGTGCAGAGCAGAAGGACTCTGACTCCTGTGATTTGTGCTGTCAGATTACTGTGCTAAAGTAAATCCTTCAGAGAGAGTCCCTTGTGGTTTTAATTCACAAAAGAACACTGGAGACAGAGCACTGTGGTTATATGCTGGCAGTCATGAAAGTCTTAGAGCACAATTTTGCCTATACACATTTGAGTATTGCATAGTTATTGGAGAATGAGGCTCTGAACTGCATTCTGGATTTAGGCTTGTAAATTCTGCCTAGATTTCACTTTACAGCCTAAAGCAGGCATATTAGATTTCAACTTTGTCTTAGAATCAAGATGAGTTGCCATAAGGTAAGTCAATAAATTATTTTAATTATAGTCTCTTTCATATGGAAGTTAAAAATTCAGCAAGTTTTAATTATAGAAAGTGAAATGTTTCATATTTTAAATAATTTGTGACAAGTGTGCCAGATAAAATGATTAACAGTCACTTTTAAAGTTAACTTCGAGTTATTTAGAGATTTGGCTCTAGAATTTCAAGAAATTCATTCTGCATTAAAAGATCAAACACTATAAATTTACAGAGGATGTTTTGTAACATTCAGAAGCAAAGAACTTATATTCTCTGTTTGTATGCCAAATGCAACAGTCTTAATCATCAGCCTATGACAAAAGGGCTCATTACACAGTCTGACAAACAGAAATTTATTATTGGTAAGTTCTTTTCAGTATTTTACCTCAGTTTGCTCCCTCACTGACCAAATGTGGAGTTTATATTTTAAAAAATATGTGTATACTACTCTAATATTTTTTTTTCATTTGTGAGTGCATTGTTTTTACTAATATTCACCAGAAATTAATTATTTGATTTAAAACATACAAATACGAAAATATACAAATAATTTTCTTTGCAAAAAATGTAGCACTTAATGTTTTATTACAGTTCTGGTTTTAGTTACTTCTTTAAGTTTTACTAAGATTTCTGCTTATAGATATATAAGCACAACAGAAATCATAGAGCAATTTAAGGACATACAAA